GAGCGATTCAAAGATCTCCAAAGACAGTGCCCGCATCACAACCTTCCAGCGGGACTGTTGATGAAGAGTTTTTACGACTCCCTAAATCAACAACTCCAATACATGGTGGACAATGCAGCAGGGGGTGACGTTGGGGAATGTACCGCAGAAGAAATGCTCGAGATCTTTGAGATGATAAGCAATAAGTCGTCTCAGAATATGTTCGTGGAAAGAAGGTGTCGGTGGACGAAATATCCATCAGACACAGTGCCATGGCTCAGCAAATTGCTGAGATTGCTGAGCAGATGAGACTGTTGAGTTCAAGAAGTGTCCAACCAGTTCAAGCAATGGCTGTGGATGTATGTGGTGCTTGCGGTACCCAGGGACACGGACCCGAAGTCTGTCCTTCGGCGTTTGATCAAAATGCTGGACAACAGACGATGGACGCCAATGCATTACAAGGGTACCAGAACCGACCGATCAACAACCCATATTCAAACACTTACAACCCGGGGTGGCGAAATCACCCAAATTTCTCTTGGGCCAACAACAACAACACTCAGAGTCCTCCTACTAACTACCAGCAGCAACAACCAAGACCAAACTTCGTTCCACAACAGCAACCGATGAGGGCTCTATACCCTCCTCGTCCGCCAGTGCCGCCACAAGTACCGATGGCCAACCCAAGTTCGCCCAGCGTAGAAGAGAGGCTAGACAAAATTTTTAGCTTCATGGCCAATCAAGCTGCCGCTCATAAACATCTTGAAACCCAAGTGGGCCAACTGGCTACTAGGTTTTCTACTCTTGAAGCTGAGGTTGAAAAGGGGAAGCTACCAAGCCAACCAGCACAAGTTAAGGCCATAACTGTTCTGCGAAGTGGAAGAGAGATCGATAACAATGTAGGCAATCCAGTTCCACCAACACAACCACCAATACAATCAACAAACCAACCACAAACACAATCACCAGCCGACGAACCCGACAAGACGAAAGAAGATGATAAAGAAAAGGAGGCACCTGTCCTCCACAAATCTGCTAATCCTTACAAGCCACGAATTCCTTTTCCTGGCCGTCTTCGAGAAGACAAACAGGAAGAGCAATTCCGGGACCTCTACAACATGCTGTCCAAATTGAACGTAAACCTTCCCCTTTTGGAAGTAATCAGGAGCATGCCAGCGTACGTCAAGTTCTTTAAGGACTTGGTGACGAAAAAGAGGAGGTTCGGCGATGGTGAGAAGGTGGTGGTTTACGAGGCTTCGAGCGCAATGCAATATGACTTACCAAAGAAGGAGCTCGATCCTGGGGGTTTTGTCATCAAAATAGCCCTCGGAAATGGGAAAGAAGCCTCAGGAATGCTTGACTTGGGAGCCGGCATTAATCTAATGCCATTTTCCATTTTTCAAAAGCTTGGCCTTGGTGATTTAAGGCCTACACGGATGTGTCTGCAGCTTGCAGATCGATCAACTCGATTCCCAAAAGGAGTCGTGGAAGATGTCCTTGTTCGAGTGGGACAACTTATTGTCCCAGTGGATTTTGTTGTCCTTGATGTTGGGGACGTTCAAGAGAACGGGAAGGATCACACTATCCTGTTGGGAAGACCATTTATGGCTACGACCAACACATTGATCGATGTGAAGAACGGAACGTTGAGCATGTCAGTTCTGGGAGAATCTGTGTCCATTTCCGTTCGTGAAGCCCAACTAGCCCCCTCATTCAACTATACTGAAGAGTGTGCCTTTTACGATGACGTCTGTTCAACCGTTGAAGAAATGGTGATGCATGATTTTGAAGAACAGAGTATACCCGACCTTAAGGAAGAAGAGCTGCCGATTGTAGAACTCTTTGCAATTGAGCAAGAGTCACAAAATCCTCCCAATCCGGAACTGAAGGAGTTGCCTAATCACCTAAAGTACGTGTTTCTTGATGACCAGGAGAAAAAGCCCGTAATCATTTGTGCAGAACTCACAGAAGAACAGGAGGAGGAGTTAGTTGAAGTTCTGAAAAGAGAACAAAAGGCGATCGGATGGAGCCTTGCAAATATAAAGGGAATTAGTCCGGCAACTTGTATGCACCGGATTGTTCTAGAAGAAGGAGCCAAACCTTTCCGGGATAGCCAACGCCGGCTTAACCCAAACATGAGCGAGGTAGTCAAGAAAGAAATCCTTAAGCTATACACGGAAGGACTGATCTATCCCGTTGCAGACAGCGAATGGGTAAGTCCGATCCATGTGGTTCCGAAGAAAGGCGGAATCACTGTCATCGAAAATGATAAAAAAGAGTTGGTACCCACTCGGATAACAACCGGGTGGCGCATGTGTATCGACTATCGGCGGTTAAACGCCGTAACAAAGAAGGATCATTTTCCGTTGCCCTTCATTGATCAAATTCTTGACCGACTATCCGGGCAACAGTTCTATTGCTTCCTTG